TTTAAACCAATACACTGCGTTACTATGTCTTTTAGCAAACAGGTAGCAGAGGTAAAGTGCAATTAATTGGCAGGTGGAGCTTTTACTGTGCTCCAACATGTCAGGTATAGAATAACACTGTTGCATAAGATAATTCTCAGTTATGGTTCCTGCTGCAGAGTAAGAGCAGCAGTGGCTGTGTGTGTAATGCTGGGGCTGTACTGGTCAGTGCAGCTGCAACTACCCCCCACCCCAGCCCCTGCTCCCCCCTCATGGCTGCTTCACATTATGGTATTCCCTCATTCCCCCTTGTGAAATGTGTTATCTATCATGCGACTGCTTTGGTATCCATTTAAGCTCCTTCCTCGTCTACCTCCTCCTCTGATGGTGACAGATGGCGTTTCTCCCCACGCTTACGGATCTGGACTGATGTTTATTTGTTGAGCAGCGTGCTCAGCGGGAGTCTGTCCTTCCCTTGTTAGCGCTCCCTATATATATATATATATATATATATATGAGGGTATAGCTGCATGTGTGACCCAGGCATCCCAGTGTTTGCACACATCCATCAGCAGAGAGTGAAAGGCTGATCGACCCCAGCATAGCCCAGTGTTATCCGTGTAGCTCATACAGTAGGTATGTAGTAATGCACATTTCTGATAACCAAAATGTGCACAAACCTATCGGCCTCAGATAACGAGTCTGCGCCATGTCAGAGCTGATATCACATGACATAGTGAGTGATTGTGAGAGAGTCTGTCAAACATACGAGCAAACAGATAACTCAACTAAACCTCCATCGTTCACTCTTTGTGATAATGTTCACCCACTGATGCCCACCTTTTGCATCCCTCACTCTCAATCTTCCTCCTCCAAATCCAAAGCTGACCACTCCATTGGGCCACATCTTTATCCATGCTCTGTTTTCAGTGTCAGTGTGATGGAGAGGGGTCATCAACCCGGACACCTCCCTTTTCTGCCCCTCCCCCGGAAAAAAGGCCTGGGAATTGAGCTGTTTAGAATAAAGTGAGACTGTTAGCCTGATGGAGAACGGCCTGTTTCTCCGTGAAAGTGTTAGACTGAGACAAGGTCAGACATTGATATCAGTCATGTGAATTTAAAGTGATGTATTGTGCTTGTTGAATATGGCATTAGTAGATTTAACAGTAGCTTTAAAGCTCTGCCATCCGTCTGAGTACGTCTCTCAGACTTATTTTGACAAATGTTGGGATTATATCTTTTCAAGATAAACTACACTTTTCACACAGACGGATGCAAGGAATCTCCTTGGGGCATAAAAGAAGACAAACGGCAAGTCATGAACTGCTATCAAACTCAGAGAAAAAACGAGATACTGCGTCACTAATTACTCAAAGTGACAGCGTATACTTTACTGAGGAGGAAAAGACAGAAAGTACAATGTGTCAGTGTTTCTAAACTTTAATTTCTGAGTAATTCCTCCATCGCTCAACACATAGGGGTCAGGACTCTGGGAAAGCAAAAGTGAAGTCCAAGAACAACCACCTTTCCATTTAGACAACCTCAAAGACACCACACACACACAGACACACACTCACTAAGGTCGCCCAGCTGTGAAAAGAAGCCAAAATACACTTAACTAATCTGCTTGATCTAGCAATTTATTGACGATGAACATTTCAAAGAGGTTGAAACTTGAGCCGCATGCGTCTCCTAAACCATGGCCAATGCAATTTCCACTGGCAGGCAGGAGGTTGGGGGGGGGGATGTTGGGAATGGGCTGACCAGTGGACGGTGCTTTATTGGTTGCCTTCGCCTCGGCATAAAAACTAATTCACCCTCGATGACAACCCACGACGAAGAAACGAAAGACGAGCTGCATTCTTTTTACCCCCTCCCTCAACTACCTACTTTATTAGCTGGCCTTTGCTGTGACAGAGCCATTCATTCTCTGCCCTGCACTACCCTTTTCTCTCTGACACACACATGCCCTCTTCTCCTTCTCGCACACACCAAACCAACCAACCCCAACATGTTATATTACCGGCTGGGAATTTATATGGCTTTCAGAATGAAAAAGCAACTACGCCTTTATGGCTGCACAGTAGTGAGGGCCCTCGCACACACCGGGCTCAGGATCCACGCAAAGCCGTGACACACACACAGGGAATTACAGCAGGGCAGTTATGTCAACACACGCTGAAAAAGAGAGGCAACTTGATCTGGTTTTCCTGTATATTACTGACTGTCTTGGTTAAGTCATTTATTCATCCCATGTGGAACAATAACTTTTCACAGATAAAAGCTAAACGTCCTGTCATTAGTCAGCTTACCCCAACTTGCCATCATTTATGCTCTTGAAAGGACCATAACTTTTATTGAAAGCCTGAAGAAGAAAAAATAGAGCAAGAGCCACGCAAAGAATTTCAGTTTCAGTAACACCTTGTCTGACACGCATCTCTCCCAGGGTGGCTCTGAAGGCCAGGAATGTGACCCTCCTCACATCGCCCAGGGATCCAATGAGCTCCACATTGTACAGAGGTTAGGTACCCGCAGGTCCAGCTGGGCTTTACTAGCAGCCCTGCCTCCAGCAGCTCCGCAGGCCTATCGAGTTACCTCGATTTTGGGTCAGCGAAGCCCTTCTGGTTCCACTTAGAGCGCTGTTTCATTATTTCAGATTTATCACTGCCATGTTTGCCAGTTGCCGTGTTTTTCCCTCCTTACGTCCCCAAGTGTAATTCATAGCATCTAATAATGCACAAACCAAGACGTTTTAAAAGGGACTGCAAGTTGGAGTTGTTCCCAGGCTTCGAGGGATTAGAGGCTCTCTAGGGGCCGCTGGGTAAAACGGTGGATTGTTGCCCAAAAGCAGAGAGAAGCCAGTCCCAGTGGAGGGGACATTACTGGATATTTACCGAGTCACTGCGTGGCCTCGGGGTTCGGTGACTCCCGCCTGAGAGTCACCCGTACGCTCCACCCATCATGGCATCATGCAGGGCCGTCCCAGAGGATTGCACAATAGTGAAGTAATGTCATGGATGAGTTCCAAATCTTTCATGCCCTTGTTGTTTACTTTACTGAGGCATAAAATCACTATCTCATCTGCTGTTTATTTTGCGAACAATGACCAATTGATAAATGTGAATTTCCCAATGATATCATGATAAATACAAATTGGTTGGACACATAAACATCAGTAGCAGAGGAAAAAAACAAGCTATTGCACCACTCACTACATCCATGCAACAGTAGGACTCTGCATCTAATCCCTCAGGGGCCATTTAACTGTTGTGTTCTTGTGCCGGAAACTCTCCAGTGGGGGTGCACGGACAGGAGACTTGGAAAAGTTGGGATGAAGCAAGAAGGGCAAGAAAGCGGGGATGCATCCCCCCCATTACCATAATAGAATTACGGTGGTGAACAAAGCAGGCATTAGTGCGCCCACGGTGGCATTTGGAGAAGATCCATCTCTCTTTCCTCCGCGGGCCAGCCCTCACCGCTTAAAGAAAAGGAAAATCTACCCTTTGTCCCCCACCCCACCCCTTTCATGAGCCTCGCCAGATTGCAACAAGGGGCTCAACGAACACACATGCACACACAGACCTGCACAAACACACACTTCTTGCACTGGTGTGTGTGTGCGCACCCACGGCCGGCCGGTGCCTCAGCGTACAGCAGGCAGCTTGACCTGCCCATCAGAAGGGATTACATCTACATAACTCCAACAAAACACTGTCAGCACCCGGCCCCTCCCTCAGCCACCCTTCCATCCACTTCTTCTGTCATCCTGCTTCTCTCCCCTCTCTGTCTCCTCGTCACTTTAACCTTTCAATCCTCCCTTTCTTCTCCCTGTCTGTGACACTTCTAGAAAGTCTGATGTAATACATTTCAGTGTGCCAGTGTTTTTCCCAGCTGTGTTGAATCAAATATCACTCAAAGTCCCCTCAAAGAGAGCATGCAGCAGTGTCAGAGAGCGATGACCTCCAAATATTTATCACAAGTGCTGGCTTGGCATATCTGAGTGGAGGTTTCTTTGCTCATGAGCAGCAGCTATAGGACTTGCTGCTACGCTGATTCCCAGATTAGGCAACAGGCAGTAGTGCTGGTGTCAGATTGTCTCTCTGATAGAGGGAACATGGCGCCGTCATGCACAAACACATTGAGCTGTTATGAAATGGACCTGCGACTTCTGGTTAGCTCTCCAGCTGCATGAGTCACTTAAGCTCCTTAAACCCCAGACACACCAAGCCGATTTTGGCCGTCGATGGATGTCAGGCCGAAAATGAGCGTCGTGTCGCCCTACTCAGATTGGTGTGTCCCGCACCGCCGTGTCTTTTCGGCCGCGCCGACACCTTTTTGGCCGAAAACCTACCAATCAGCCAAAGGCTGTCGGTCAAATAAATCACTCTGATTGGCTGTTCAGCTAGCGAATCAGTGCATGAGAAGCGAAACGGAAGTGAGGGACCCAAACAGACTATTAAGAAGGCAAATCTAAGATTTCATTTAACTCCAGCTCTCGACACAGGACCGAGAGAAGAAGAACAGACTGCGTGATATAAACCAAAAGCATGTGCGTTCCATTTTCACTCTACAACGAGAAGCTCATGGTGCTTTCCCGAACCTGTGTCGAGAGCTGGAGTTAAATGAAATCTTAGATTTGCCTTCTTAATAGTCTGTTTGGGTCCCTCACTTCCGTTTCGCTTCTCATGCACTGATTCGCNGGAGTTTGGAGTGTGACTGTTTGAGGTTGTGGACAGGTGTCTTTTATACTGATAACGAGTTCAAACAGGTGCCATTAATACAGTTAACGAGTGGAGGACAGAGGAGGCTCTTAAAGAAGAAGTTACAGGTCTGTGAGAGCCAGAAATCTTGTTTGTTTGTTATTGACCAAATACTTATTTTCCACCATAGTTTGCAAATAAATTCTTTAAAAATCAGACAATGTGATTTTCTGGATTTCTTTTTCTTCTCATTTTGTCTCTCATAGTTGAGGTATACCTAGGATGAAAATTACAGGCCTCTCTCATCTTTTTAAGTGGGAGAACTTACACAATTGGTTGCTGACTAAATACTTTTTTGCCCCACTGTATATATAATCACAGACATAGCTCAAAAAACGTGCAAGACCATGGCATGGGCTTAGAATGAAGTCCTATGAAGTATTGCATTGGAAAATATGAAGAAACCCTGGTCTTTCTTGTATTCATTACATTCCCAGAAATTCGGTAAATTAAAAAAGCCATCATAATTAGGAATACCTTTTAACTTTATCTCTTTTAAAATTCCAAATGTTTTACCCTGTGACTTTTTTCCTTTCCTTTGCTCCATTCTCCATCTTTGAGTGTATGGCAGTATAAACTATGGTCTGAGTGACCCCATATATTTCCCCCCTAAAACGATTCCCTTGGTTTGTTGTTCTACTTCTCCTCCTCCTCGTGCTCTGAGATCTGACAGTGAAAGCTCAGGGAATTAGGGGGACATCGGGGCTGATGTATGCTTTGGGATCCCAGCCATCAGGGCAGGGATGAGGCTGGGGTCTGCCAATAGCTCTCACCTCCTCATGCGTGTGTCTTTGTCCTCCTCCATCCATCTCCCGGGCAGCATGCGGTACTTTGATCGAGCCGCGCTCTTCATCGAAGCCTGTCTGAAGTACGGGGTGATGGAGGCCGATGACTCTTCCAATATCCTTTTTGAAAACCCATTACTGCACTCCGATGGACATTTATAACCAGGGTTAGGTTCCCTCTTAACGCTGTCCATCTGTACTGCAGATGTGCACTCCATAGTAGAGAGCTCTTCACAGTAAAAGACATTTAAAAGCACATCGTATCTCATAAGAGAACTTTTAGAACTTACTTTAAAAACGTCTGAACATAGACATACAGAAAGAATACATATGTTGTAGTTTAGCCAAAAAGCAATGTTTTTCCTCAGATGTACTGTATATACGTTTACTTTATTGCAACTGCATACATAAGTTCTACTAGTCAGCCTTTTTTTTTGGCTTATATTATATTCTTATTTGTATCTTGTGTGATCAGCGCAATGTAGTAATAAACACACTACAGAACAAAAGATAAGGGGGTGGAAAAAGGTAAACCTCTAAAGTAATATTTCATCTCAAGAGTTGGAAACATCCCCCCTGGCTTGTTCATTGGTCAGATCTGGCCTGTAGCCACTAAGTGATTTATCATTTATGGAGAGCAGACCAGGAGCACACTAAGCCTGCGCAGGGCCGAGCTGTCTTTCAAGAAGATCAAATATCTCACTTTCAGAGTTTCCCAGTGTATTCATTAATATCCTCCTTTAAGAAAGTGACATATCTATTTTAAAACCAATATAAATGTGGCCTAACTACAAACTCAAGTGTCTGTTTCCATCTAATCTTTAGTATTTTTGTGACCATCAAAAGTAGCCTAAACAAGGTGGGCCGCAGTGCCATCAGATAAATGCTGAATATATTTAGTTGCACTTGCTAAAACTTAATGCAGTCAAAGCAACAGTTCTGAAAAAAAAGCTCGTCCCTTCATTAAGGGGATAAAGACCTGTTGATGTGGAAGCATTTTAAGAGAGGGTTTGATTCAATATTTGATGACTGCAGTTTGTATTTGAACTCCTACTCTTTGTCTTGCATTGTGTTATGCATATAAGTGTTCCTAGTATTGTAATGACTGCAATGATCTCTATATGAGATTCATATTATTTATTTTCTCACCAAACTGTTCAGTGGTGTCTTCATCCTGCATGGAAGCATTATATTAGTCAGGTGTCTGTATGTGATAATGATGATAATCATGATGTAACAGACACTGTGCAGTGCATCTAAATCTGGCTGACTGGCTTCCTCTTTCTTTTTTTAAAGCCTTGGCAGCAGACTTTTGGACTAATTATGGTCTTGAAAAAACATTACAGACACTATTACAGTTATCTAACGTAATTCAAATCAATTCGTGAACTCTGAATCTTGTTGGGATAGAAAAGGCAGTCCCTTTGCAGTTCCTTTTCTGTGGGATTTAAAGAGTACGTCTGACTCAAGGATAATGCCCAGGCTCATTATGTTCATCATCAGCTACTTTTCCTTGGGTCTTGCAATAAATAAGAAGATTATCACAGATACTTACTAAAACAAACAACCATGTGATGTTATAATCAGAGTGTAACTAACAATACTTTCCTGAGGGGGAATGAAAACGTTCACTGTGTTTTCTTCTGACCTATTCAATGTTATGAGTTCTCCTTGACCTCCTCCTGCACATAAACTAATCAAGTCTGCGTTTCTGGAGTATGCTCGGCTGCTGCGCTCCCTGGGCCTGCGGGAGGGCGCCGCTCTGTGGGCGTCCCGGGCCGGCAGCGCAGGGGAGCAGCTGATGGAGGAGCTGTTCCAGGGGGAGGGCAGCGTGCCAGAGAGCGTTATCAGCGAAGACAAAGAGCTGGGCCAGGAGAGCACCGAGTGACCTCTGAAAGATTTGGAGAAGAACGGATGATGGTGCAAATCAAGGATCCGTCATTCATTCTTACTTCTAAACCTCGACCAGTGTGAGTGAACTCTGTGTCAGCGCCCAGAGGAGTCATGATCCTCATCAGGAGAAGAGAGGATATGTTTCCATGTGGAGTCCGTCTCCCTGTTTCTGTGACTACAAAGATGAAAAAAAATGTTTGGTATGACGTGTGTGTTTGTGCACATTTGTGAATGCATGCAACGGCCCCAAAAGAAACACACTTCTGTCCTGATTCCCCCCAACACGCGAAGTGATGCACCTCGTGTTCTCTGTAGGTTAATGGATTTAACTTTTTATTTATGGTTGCTTGGTAAGCTTTATTTTGCGTGCCTGTGTTAATGACTTCAAAGTACTGTTGTAGCTCTACGGGTTTAATTTGCCTTTTCTCTGCTGGGATGAAATACGGCAGAGTTCATTCATCCAAAAATAATACGTTCCATATTTCATTTGCACTGCCCTTGACGGCCCACATTACTACTCCATGACTGGATTCCCTCGTAAATTAACCAAAAATACCACATTATTAGAATGCTAACTACGATTCCCTGTACAGAGACACAGTATTTCTGTAGGCAGACACACGACAGACTGGGTGTTCCAGCCACAGCAGGTGGTGCTGTATAATTGAGTGACCAAAGCCTGCTGCCTCCCAGCCTCCGCAGCTGTAACTGTTGATCAGCAGGAAAGTTAGCCAGGCCACCTTGCTCCTAATTCACCCTTATTATAATTGAATGTCCCTGAACACAGAGGTGATAGGAGTGATGCCGTTTAATTAGCTTGTGTAGTGTTCACATTAGTTGAATAGATTATTCCACTAAGGATTTTTCGTTTTCTACTTTTATGAAACCTTGAAACGAAAACTACTCTTCTTTGATGTTTGTGTAACGCGGTTGTTCTCTGGTGTGTATTACAAGATGATCTGTCAAAAATGTGTCCGTACTCATTTGAATCAGACTTTTGACATAATTTACACACAAATGGTAATCTGTGCTGCCCATCACAATTACAAAGGCAGACACACATATTTTAGCATATGACCCACTGCCATCCGTTCTGCTTTTCTGACCATCATACTCATCCTAATGGTGGAGCAAAATACATATTAAGTGGTTGTGTTTTTTATTGCGTTGTAGCGTGTTAACTGGTCCTGAAACGAGACAGTAACTCCATCCGTGGGACCATTGTTTGTTGTGCGTTTTTGTGTTTCATAAACACGTCAGTGCTGTTTCTGTTGTGTTGCGTATAACCCCGAGTCACTATGGCAACCCAGGCCTATTTTAGGGCACTACATGCTCCTGTAGACCCATTTCACTCCCACTGACATACTGTAGGATCCCACACCCAGCAGATAATCAGCTGTAGTTTACCCATGCTGTGTTTCTTCCTCCAATCACGTCATGCAGTATTGTGCAATGAACTGTACTTCCTCTTTATGATTAGTGTGACTAACACAGAGTAAACTATAGCCGTTTTTCATTGTTCTTTGTTCATTGTTTGTACAGTGATCCTAATGCTTTAAGCTATATAAATATGACAAGAGAAAAAAATATCTGTATATATGGATGGAAATAAAATCAATATTATTAACTTTATATGTCCTGTGTGCTGTTATATGTTGACTCAAGAGGGCGCTCTTGTCCCTCAATGAGAGGCAAAGTGGCTGTGTAATGGCACTTTGAGAGAAAGACCTGTTATAGCAAGAGCTCTTTTCAATTATCCCCCTTCAATTTCAGCCCAGGTAGATTGGATTTGAATGTTCCTTCATTTGTCAAACTGCCCTAAAAGTGAATTAGTTCCTGCATGAGTCGCTTCCGCCTTTAATGGCCTCTTTTCTGCTCAGAAGGAGGGCCAACAGCTGGCCGCAGCTCGCTGCCCAGGTCTAACGGTTCTCACTCTTTTCCTTTCTCCTCGGATTTATTCATTGAAGTGCATTCTGTTTCTTCTCTCCTGCGAGAAAGGCAGAGCACAAAGAGAAGAAAAACAGTCTGAAACAGAAGGCCACACAAATGATTGGTTGTGTTCCCTTTTAATAGCTTAATGAATAACTGCCGGAGAGCCGATCCAGCCGTTCCCGCCAGGCCATCGGTATGCAGGCCGCACTGCGCCTCTGTTCTGTCCCTCTGTTTAAACTCTCGGCTACCACCCAGCTCGCCAAATGGCTCTGATAACTCTCATCCTGCCATCCACCTCTTCCCCAACTTATATGTACTTAATTCCTTCTTTTTTGCTTTGTAAAACAGGTGGACACCATGCCAACTCATGTTGCTGCTGCACGATTTCCTGGAAGCCTTTATTCCATCTGCTGTTTGGCTTTGTGTACCCCCATTCAGAAATAAACATTCAAAGTAGTTTTAAAAAAAAACACAAGATTAAGAGTGTTTGGATCCAAAGCTGTGAGGGGAACTTGTGTTCATTTAACAGATGGAAATCCCTCGCTGTTTCACGCTGCATATAGGGCAGATTTCAATTAATAGCCTTCGCCAAATCAATCGTACACGGTATTCTCGCTGCTACGCATTCTCAATCATCTGTGTAAGCAGCCATCGAACTGGGGCCTTCGTGTGCAGCCGAACACTGCAGTCTGTGGTGGAGAAGTACAGCAGGTCATCCATTTCCCATGAGCATGTTCTCCTCTGGTGCTGACAGATCTCTTCATCCAGGATGGGCAGGTCCATGCCTGCTCGCAGTACTTACTGAAAAGACAACATGTCTTCCTCTGAATGTGTGTTAGTTTTCCTCACCTCCTCGCTGAGGGTTACCACTGAGTTCATTCCTAATTTTCTCTGTAAATATCTCCCCTTTCATTGTTTTCTCAACACCTCCCCCCAGTAATAACGATAGTAGTTTAATTTAACTACTTTTGGCTGCAGTTTCGGCTCTATTTTTTAACTCAATCCTCAACTTTTGAGTCTCCTCCTGAATATTCAGCTTAATTCTCCAAATGTAAAACCTTTACCTTCTTCCTCTGATTTATTAGTTTGACTCGTAACGGATCTTATTCAAGTTGTTTCTATATGGCTGGCCATAATGCTCTCCACACCACTGTATTTTTGGCCCACTTTTCTCACCTTCCTCCACACAACTATCAACAGTTTCCTACTCCCAGGCTGCTCCACGGGGAAATTGATCTACACGAGTAAAGGTCATGTTTCTCTCACACATCTCCTCTCACCCCCGCATCACCTCCTCTCACCCACATCTGTGGGTAACCCCTGGTGTGGAGGGAACCCACAGCTCTGACCTCATCTGATATCACAGTCAGCAGCTCTTCAATTGGTGAGAAGTGACTTCCCTCCCTTCTTTCATCCTCTGCTATTGGTAGATCTCTCTGTCTTCCCAGATGTTCACAGACTCTGATTGGCCGATGTGTGCTGTAGAGGGCCCCTGTTGCTGCTCCAGGTGATGTTTATGTTGAAGGTATTCATGGCCCCCATCTTTATCTGATTCCATTTGGATGAATGTCACAGTGTTTAGCAGACCATGGCCTCACCTCGCCACAACACCACCCTGCTCCCATTTAAACAGAGGCATGAGTGAGCGAGAGTAAATCGGGGATGGGGGGCTCGGCAGGGGCAGCATAGGGGAACAACGGGATCTATGGAACATTACCACTCGATGACAAACTCTTATCAAGGCCCCGGTAATGACTTGAGGACAGGATAATCTTTTAAAAAGCTCCTGCTATCTCTAAAACAGCTCTTTTGTGGCTTCCACGTGTGCAGGTTGCGGTGAGGGCTGTTATTTACAAAAGCAAAGGGGAATCAATGAGTGCATTGTGTCAGGAGCGTGGGGCTGCAGTGTGGTCTGCAGCTCCTGCACAGGTTTTTACATGATTCTACCACTGCTAATCCTCACAGAATGATCAGGGATATGAGAGTGAGAAAGACACAAATGATTTGTTTAAATGTGAAGACTCACATAGACAGTGTACAGACTTCAGAGTGACACACCTATTTCACTATTGTAATCTGGAGCAGGACGTTTATGTGATGATATTAATCCCACATCATAGGAAATCCTCAAGGCTATGTCAACAAGCTGTAAAGACTTGGCTGAAAGATGTCTTCCCCTACTGTTGTTGACAAAACTACATCCAGATCCACTGGTGATGTGTGTTTTACGTGTAAATATGAAATAGACACCGCAGAGAGATCCTATTAACGAATTCACAAAAAACTAAACAAAAGGGTGGTGAGAGAAGAGGAAAGAAAAGGCCTTAACCAAACAGCATACTAGGAAGGAGGAAAAAATTGAGAAACAGTTTCGAAGTACATATTCCTCTTATCTTTATTGGCTGACTGGTGCAAATGCGCTACAACGGCCAAAAACACTTGCATTAGGAGAAGTGCGATGCAATTTAAAAACTATGCAAGAAACAACAACAAATGTACCAAAACACATGCAAATTAAGAAACATATTCACCAACTAAACAACACATTCACAGCGAAGCTCAACAACAATGTCTCTACACACAGACATCATATTCAAGATAAAAGAACAGACTTGATGTGAGCAATTACACGTAGGAACTACTTTCTTCCTCCGTACGTCCGCGCAGAAGGAAGTGTGCATGCACTGGATAATAGGTAGAAGCATGCTTTCTTCTGCGAGGTGATACAGGTGATGGCTGTATTTCAAAAGATAGAAAATAATTCCTTTTGTGAAAGTGCTCACACCAAGGTTTATGGATTATTTTGAGTCCTGATTTCTTGAAAGAGACATTGGTTTTGAGTTATTTAAGCACCACAAGCTGAGTGCTATTGAGTTTGTTATATTCCAAAGAAGCCATGGCCAATATCTAGGTGTCAACACTAGGCACCTCACACAAAAAGTAGCATGACAATTACAGAAAAAAAGAAAAATGATATCTTGATTTTGAGGTGAAATGTACACAAAACTGTACACGTATTAGAGAAGAAAGAAGTTGAAATATGCAGACATGAGAGGACTCGAGGGGACCCAGAAATCCAAGCTGTGTGTGTGTTTATATGTGTCAATGGAAGGCCATGAGGTAATAAAGATTCCACAGATGCCCCTACTACAGTCAGGCCCTCCCCAGGCTAATTGCCACTGTCCTTTGGGAAATTATAGCAGGGGGAAGGCAGGGATGATTATGAAGGAAATGGCCTCTTATAAGCCGCTGTGCGCTCAGCCAGCCGGGCCCAGGGCTGCAGACCGGGGGTGTTCCCTTTCACTGGAGGACAGTGGGAGCCAGTGGAGGATGTAAAGGATACCTGTGCTGCAGCTGACCCATTTCCTGTATTGTTGCTTGTGTATTTGTGCATGTATGTGTGTTTATCTGAGGCTGTGTACCCATGAATATGTGCTGAGCGTACAGAGTGATCCCAGTTTAACTGCCCTGGCCTCTTTCCTGTGAGCGCAGATAGACTATCCTGCTGGGTTGGGGTCTCTCGCGGAGCAGTGTGTTTTTATTTCTAGTCAAGCGGAGTACGCGTGTTTCCTCTCCGTGTAGTCCGGCCGGACACTGGGCCTGTGTGTGCGAGCGGGGCCATTTGGGGGGGGGGGGAGCTGAAGCTGGCTGTTTTGCTGCGGCCCGTGCAGGCCTTCACTCCTGGGGATAAGCACGTGCTGCTCTGCCAAGAAAGAACCGGGTCCAGGATCAGTGTTTCTCCTGTGATTTTGAAGGATAACATCAGCTGTGTTGTTAAATTGAGATGACGATCAATCACAGAATGCTTCCATCTATTCTACAGTACCAAGTGCAGAGATTTGTTTTATGGCTGCACTTCCTTATTTTGCTCATTTGAGACAAGCACTGCGTCCCATAATGCATTCTTAAAATTCTAACCATGTCTTGAATTTCTAGAATAGCTAAAGAAAGGATGAAGGATTTTTGAGTCGGCCATCATTTGTGGGACGGATGTCCCACGATGCAACAGAAATGGAAAAAATGTACAGAATCAGAGGGTAGGTTACAATTATTGTATTTGCTTTAGTGTATCAGTGTAAAACATAACAATTGTACTGTAACATAATTGAATCAAAAGAAATCCCCAAATCTGGTCATAGATTAGAAGAAGACATTTAAAAGTAGAAAACTATAAAAATATTAGCTCTACATCTGCTTTAAAATAAAGCTGCTTGGTTTTAAATGTGGACAGGTGTAACTATTTTTGTAAACAAGGAAAACCATGTCTACTACCTATTATATTTTTTATTAGAAATTGGCGATGCAATTTTCTAAAGTTGTAGTTTGAATAAAAGTTGTCCATGCACATATTGTGTTTCTTGCTAAAATAAATGCCACAGTTAATTAGTGTGTTGTGCACTACCTGCCAACATACAGTATCTCCATTAGTACACAGTGTATACTCAACTTCAGGACTGATATCTTTATTATATCTCCACTAGGGGGCGGCAGAGGACTAGAGAACAGAAGTGTGACGCGTCTGGTAGTCACTATCTCCCTCCAACTCCTGAGTAAGGGTTTGGGGATTCAAGACCCCCCCGGACTTGTTTCAAGAAGTTCTGCAGAAATTAGCTGTCTATGCAACAAGTTAAGATGATAAAAAAACATTTGTTTTAAAGTCCAATTAAAACATTTTGTTACCTATGCTGCAGTTCATTGTCACATTATTTCACAGCTTCTAAAAACACTGCATGCATGTTATTATGTTTCATTCATGTCATTATTCAGTCAGTTCAACGTGTGATTTTCACCACCTCGGGTGCTAACTAGGCCGCAGGATCTGTGCCTGCATCCCATAGCATTCCGCATGCTGTTTGTCGTTGGCTGAGGTGTGTGAAAGCCTCTTAACCAGGGCCGAATTCACCATATACGTTGGGAGGGGGACATCCCCCCCAATATTCAGATACGCTCAACATTTCCCCCCAATATATAGCCTGACTGATATACATTTTTTTTAAATAAAATTGCTATTCTATTACTTTTTTATTTTGGCTATTTGTATACTTGAAAATCTTTATTTTCTTCACCAAAATGATATTTTCTTTTCATATGTAAATTGGGTCCGCCTTTGTTTGTTTATGCATACCTTTATTTTGTACCCGGGGGGTGTATTTTGCTGTCGCATGTCCGAGTCCAGCTTCAGTTAGCGTTGATGCTCCAAGCAGGTCAGTCATGTTTTAATTTGCCCTAGTTCTGGTATCTTTTTCTAGTTAGCCCTAAACTATATTATTTTATTTCATAATGGTAATGTTAATGAACCCTCCGGTTTAGCTTCTTTGTGTAAATAAAAAGAACACGTCCCGACGGAACACGACTGTTGTGTCGCCTCCCGTCTCCTGCGTTTTGGCCAGCAGTCGCACTGGAACACACCGCAAAGACTTCAGCCGACGGCCAAGTAGCACGTACGAACTGCGCATGCGTGAGTCTGCCAAGGCACAC